GTCTGATAGCTGATTTCCTTCTGCATGTAAGTGTCACAGATAGATAGATAGATAGATGCTAAGGACCTCAGAGGGGTTGCTAGGTTATTCTAGGTGGTTGCTAGGGTATTTGGAGTGGTTGCTATGTAGGTACTTGGCTAACTGGGGTGGTTGCTAGGGTGTAGCTATACGGTTGCTAAGGTACCCGGGTCGGTTGCTAGGGTGTTGCTATGCGGTTGCTAGGCTACCTGGAGTGGTTGCTAGGTTGTTGCTATGCAGTTGCTAGGGTACCCAGGGCTATTGTACTTTTCTCCTCATAGGTGTATGAAAGCTGATTTCCTTGTGCATGTAAGTGTCATAGATAAGATAGATAGATAGATGCTAAGGACCTCAGAGTGGTTGCTAGGGTATTCTAGGTGGTTGCTAAGGTATTTGGAACAGTTGCTATGTTGGTACTTGGCTAACTGGGGTGGTTGCTAGGGTGTAGCTATACGGTTGCTAAGGTACCCGGGTCGGTTGCTAGGGTGTTGCTATGCGGTTGCTAGGCTACCTGGAGCGGTTGCTAGGTTGTTGCTATGCAGTTGCTAGGGTACCCAGGGCTATTGTACTTTTCTCCTCATAGGTGTATAAAAGCTGATTTCCTTGTGCATGTAAGTGTCATAGATAAGATAGATAGATAGATGCTAAGGACCTCAGAGTGGTTGCTAGGGTATTCTAGGTGGTTGCTAAGGTATTTGGAACAGTTGCTATGTTGGTACTTGGCTAACTGGGGTGGTTGCTAGGGTGTTCCTATGCGGTTCCTAGGGTACTTGGGGTGGTTGCTAAAGCAGTTGCTAGGGTGTAGCTATACGGTTGCTAAGGTACCCGGGTTACGATTTTGATACCATAGCACATCCTGACACGGCCAGTTGTGCTTTTCATAATTCATCTAATTTACATCCATTTACGTGGATGAAATGTTATCATGTGCTGAAACTTTAGCAAATCATATGAAAATATTGGCCAGTCCCTCAAAAAAAAATTCTCCCATTTGAATATTAATTTGAGCTAATTCCAAAGTCATGTCTATTGTACTTTTCTCCTCATAGGTGTCTGATAGCTGATTTCCTTCTGCATGTAAGTGTCACAGATAGATAGATAGATAGATGCTAAGGACCTCAGAGTGGTTGCTAGGGTATTCTAGGTGGTTGCTAAGGTATTTGGAACAGTTGCTATGTTGGTACTTGGCTAACTGGGGTGGTTGCTAGGGTGTTGCTATGCGGTTCCTAGGGTACTTGGGGTGGTTGCTAAAGCAGTTGCTTGGGTGTAGCTATACGGTTGCTAAGGTACCCGGGTCGGTTGCTAGGGTGTTGCTATGCGGTTGCTAGGGTACCCAGGGCTATTGTACTTTTCTCCTCATAGGTGTATGAAAGCTGATTTCCTTGTGCATGTAAGTGTCATAGATAAGATAGATAGATAGATGCTAAGGACCTCAGAGTGGTTGCTAGGGTTCTACACTGGTTCCTATCACGATGTTGTTCCGAGCTAAGGTATTTGGAACAGTTGCTATGTTGGTACTTGGCTAACTGGGGTGGTTGCTAGGGTGTTGCTATGCGGTTCCTAGGGTACTTGGGGTGGTTGCTAAAGCAGTTGCTTGGGTGTAGCTATACGGTTGCTAAGGTACCCGGGTCGGTTGCTAGGGTGTTGCTAGGCTACCTGGGGTGGTTGCTATGCAGTTTCTAGGGTACCCGGGGTGGTTGCTAGGGTGTTGCTATGCGGTTGCTAGGGTACCCAGGGCTATTGTACTTTTCTCCTCATAGGTGTATGATAGCTGATTTCCTGGTGCATGTAAGTGTGCTCAGTGGCACGTCTCTTTATGAATGTCTTTGGCAGGAGTTCTGTTGCTGAACGCTGTGCTGACGGTGCGCGCTCTCTAGGCCAACTCTCACAGGGACAAGGGCTGGGAGACATTCACTCATGCTGTGGTACACTGGCCCAGCACTAACACGCAGGCTCTTGTCTTCATTCTCTGGGGCTCTTATGCTCAAAAGAAGGGGGGCTGCCATCGACTAGCTGTGAATCTTTCAGTTTATAGATGAACACGAACAGAGGTCAGTAGAGCCAGTAAATATTTCAAACAGGCAGTCACACATTGTTTTCTGATTGTAGAAGCGACACCACGTTCTGCAGACGGTGCACCCCTCGCCACTGTCTGCTCACCGCGGCTTCTTCGGATGTAAGCATTTCTCAAAGACCAATGAACTGCTGAGGAAATCAGGAAAGAAGCCCATCGACTGGAAAGCTCTGTGACCGTTTCCATTCGTGGCTGTAGATGGAATGCTGATTGTCCGGTTTCAGAAATAAGCTTTGTTTTTTTAAAGCTTGTTCTGAATACGTATGTGTTTCTAGAGTAGGTCGACTGTTCATTGTTTTCCTTTCAGATGTTATCGATGTAGTTTTAAATGTACAACACTAACAGTGAATGTTTTTGTGTTTGTGTCTAATGCTATTTTATGTCATGTTTTTCCACCAGATGGCATCAGAGACACAGTGAACCGGGTCAAAGTGTAGGCTTTTAATAGAAAAGGACTGTAATTGGTCAAATAGTCAAATTAGGGCTTGGAGAGATGATTTCTACTTTACATTTGGAGCGAATTATAGATAGTTTGAAGGGCAAATTTGAACATTTTGACCAAATCTGGCACCCTTTTCTCTGTTATCCTGACGGAAACCCTATTGTAAATGTAATGTTTTAATATTTCTTCATCATTCTTTACAATTTAACGTGAACAGGTCTGGCCAGAGATGGTTTGTAGTGCGTTTCTCTCTCTTTTCCAATTTTGATTGTATTCTTTGTACAGGTAATAGAGACAAAAAATGTAAGATTGCAAATCCATCTCCAAAATCTTTGTCTTTCAATAAATCTTATTTGACAAAAAAAAGGGACTGAAATTGTGTCTTTGCTTGTTTTTTGGTCATAGTTTCAAAAAAAAAAAAAAAATCCAGAATATAAGGCAAATAAATAAAAATCACCAAAAATAAATAACTATATAAATAAGACAATACTCTGATTAAGAATCTACCATGTAAACAGAGATTTCTGATTACCTTAATCCGGCTAAAGTCATAATCGAAGTAAACACGAATCGAATTAAGACACTATTTAAGTCGCATTATGTGCAGTAAACACATGAAGGATAGCAAATGCGAAAGCACAAAAACACAAGCCTATCACTACTATCAACTGTGCCACCTTAGAAATTCAGAAAGCCATCTGTAGATATAAGCCTTCAGCAGATGTTAGAAGAAAAATCTAAAATAATGCCACAGAGGATAACAGTTCAAAAGTACATGGACCTTTATGAAGACAAACTAGTCACATCTACAGGTGGATCAAAGCAGCCAGAGGCAGGCCGTACTGGGGCTAGCAGTCAGAAAAAGAACAGCAGATCATTTATCGGTGTACACAGCTTTGAGCAATTTTATTGGCATTACAGTGACTGGAAGGACATAAACAGAACCTAAACGTAATCATAGCTTCTGACAGCTGATCTGCTCTATAGCGTTCAATCATGTAGACAAGAGATCACATACCAGATATTCACCTTGCCTTTAATACTGCATGCTAAAGAGCTGGATGCGTCCTTGCTTTGTGTTCCTGCTCATGTAGCGCTGGAAGGAAAGAGATTGTAGATATTCTGGCAAGAGGAGCGATAAAGCATGAAACACTTGATATACAAATACCGTTATGTAGAACAGAAGTCAAAACCATTATACAAGCTAAATATGGCAAGAATACCGGGACATAACTGATACTGGACGACGTCTGTATAACACACAAAAACAAGTAGGCTTAAATAGTATCAGGCAGAGCAGGAATCCAAAGAAGGAAAGATAGTTACACGTCTTAGAATAAGAAGAGGAAACACCCCGCTGCAACACACGAGAGACAGTCAAACGTATTTTACTAGATTGTAAAATACTGGGATAAGTGAAAGAATTTGATGGAGATATATAGGGGGGAGGAGTATGTGTGTATATATATATGTGTGTGTATATTATACTCTCTATGTGCTTTTTCTCCAAGTACTGCCCACACTCCAGTCCAGTAGGTGGCGGTAAATGCACCTTTAAGCTGGTTTGCCAATAACATTTCAAGAAGAAGAAGTAAACACGTGTACACACCAGGACTTTTCACCACATTTTGCGACAGGATACACACACACACGGCAGTGCTTGACGGCAAACAAAAGACTACGACGAAGAAAATGGCTTCAGCGACGCCGTCGTCTGTTCGCACGCATAGCATGACAACTCTTGAGCCGAGGCTGATGGTCAAGCAGGAGCAAGACGACGACTCCGACGCAGAGGAGCCGACTGTGTCCTTCAGGAGAGCCGAGCAGCAGATCATCCACAGCGGGCACTTCATGGTGTCCTCCCCGCACACCGAGCACCCGCCGAAGAAGGGCTACGACTTCGACACCGTCAACAAACAGACCTGCCAGACCTACCGCTTCGGGAAGACCAGCACGGCGCATTTCTCCATCGACGTCTCGCTGACGAAGCTGTTCGAGTGCATGACGCTCGCCTACAGGTGCGTCATTACCCAGCAGTGCGCTATAAATACACGCAGTGGCCTGAATGTGTGGTGGGATGCACGACCAGGTCATTAATTACTGTCATGTAGCACGGCTGCTACGAACTGACGACGCTCCAGGAAATCCCTGCTGCAGACAGCTACCACGTGACTGAGGGAAAAGCAGCTACCACGTGACTGAGCTAGGGCTGGACGATATGGCCAATGCAGAGCAGGAATCCAAAGAAGGAAAGATAGTTACACGTCTTAGAATAAGAAGAGGAAACACCCCGCTGCAACACACGAGAGACAGTCAAACGTATTTTACTAGATTGTAAAATACTGGGATAAGTGAAAGAATTTGATGGAGATATATAGGGGGGAGGAGTATGTGTGTATATATATATGTGTGTGTATATTATACTCTCTATGTGCTTTTTCTCCAAGTACTGCCCACACTCCAGTCCAGTAGGTGGCGGTAAATGCACCTTTAAGCTGGTTTGCCAATAACATTTCAAGAAGAAGAAGTAAACACGTGTACACACCAGGACTTTTCACCACATTTTGCGACAGGATACACACACACACGGCAGTGCTTGACGGCAAACAAAAGACTACGACGAAGAAAATGGCTTCAGCGACGCCGTCGTCTGTTCGCACGCATAGCATGACAACTCTTGAGCCGAGGCTGATGGTCAAGCAGGAGCAAGACGACGACTCCGACGCAGAGGAGCCGACTGTGTCCTTCAGGAGAGCCGAGCAGCAGATCATCCACAGCGGGCACTTCATGGTGTCCTCCCCGCACACCGAGCACCCGCCGAAGAAGGGCTACGACTTCGACACCGTCAACAAACAGACCTGCCAGACCTACCGCTTCGGGAAGACCAGCACGGCGCATTTCTCCATCGACGTCTCGCTGACGAAGCTGTTCGAGTGCATGACGCTCGCCTACAGGTGCGTCATTACCCAGCAGTGCGCTATAAATACACGCAGTGGCCTGAATGTGTGGTGGGATGCACGACCAGGTCATTAATTACTGTCATGTAGCACGGCTGCTACGAACTGACGACGCTCCAGGAAATCCCTGCTGCAGACAGCTACCACGTGACTGAGGGAGATTTTTATTGTTTTTAAAGAAGTCTCTTCTGCTCACCAAGCCTGCATTTATTTGATCCAAAATGCAGCAAAAACGGTAACATTTTGAAATATTTTTACTATTAAAAATAACTCTTTTCTATTTTAAAATGCATTTCATTCCTGTGATTTCTAAGCTATATTTTCAGCATCATTACTCCAGTCACGTGATCTTCAGAAATCCTTCTAATATTCTGATTTGCTGCTCAAAACACATTTATTATTATTATGTTGAAAACAGCGGAGTAGAATTTTTCAGGTTTCTTTGATGAGCAGAAAGTTCAGAAGAACTGCATTTATCTGAAATAGAAATCTTTTGTAACATTATAAATGTCTTTATCATCACTTTTGATCAATTTAAAGCATCCTTGCTAAATAAAAGTGTTAATTTCTATAATTTCTTTCCAGAAAGAAAGAAAGAAATCATACTGACTCCAAGCTTTTGAATGGTAGTGTATAATGTTACAAAAGCTTTTTACTTCAGATAAATGCTGATCTTTGGATCTTTCTGTTCATCAAAGAATCCTGAAATAAAAAATACTCAACTGTATATTGATAATCAGCAGAGGAGCATATTATACTGATTTCTGAAGATCATGTGACACTGAAGACTGGAGGAATGATGCTGAAAATACAGCTGC